GAGGAGCAGAGGAGGAGCAGAGAGGAGAGGAGAGGAGCAGAGGAGGAGAGGAGGGAGAGGAGGAGAGAGGAGGAGCGAGAGAGGAGCAGAGGAGGAGGAGAGGAGCAGAGGAGGAGGAGAGGAGGAGGGGAGAGGAGCAGAGGAGCAGGAGAGGAGCAGAGGTCAGAGGAGGAGGGAGGAGGAGAGAGGAGGAGGAGAGGAGCAGAGGAGGAGGAGAGGAAGAGAGGAGTCAGAGGGTCAGAGAGTCAGAGGTCAGAGGAGGAGCAGAGGGGAGGAGGAGCAGGGAGGGAGGGAGTCAGAGGGCAGAGGGTCAGAGGGAGAGGAGAGAGAGAGGGTCAGAGGGTCAGAGGAGAGGAGGTCAGAGGGTCAGAGGAGGAGCAGAGGAGGAGGAGGGCAGAGGGTCAGAGGGTCAGAGGAGGAGCAGAGGGTCAGAGGGTCAGAGAGGAGCAGAGGGTCAGAGGGTCAGGAGGAGCAGAGGTCAGAGAGGAGAGAGGGTCAGAGGAGAGGAGAGGAGGAGGAGCAGGAGGTCAGGAGGAGGAGGGGAGGAGGTCAGAGAGCAGAGAGAGGGTCAGAGGAGAGAGCAGGGTCAGAGGAGGAGGAGAGAGGGTCAGAGGTCAGAGGAGGAGCAGAGGGTCAGAGAGGAGGAGCAGAGGTCAGAGAGAGGCAGAGGGTCAGAGGAGGAGCAGAGGGTCGAGCGAGGAGAGGAGGAGCAGAGGGTGAGCAGAGTCAGAGGAGGAGCAGAGGGGAGGAGGAGCAGAGGTCAGAGAGGTAGAAGCAGAGGGTCAGAGGAGGAGCAGAGGGTAGGAGCAGAGGGGTCAGAGGAGGAGCAGAGGGTCAGAGAGCAGAGAGGTCAGAGGAGGAGGGTCAGAGGGTCAGAGGAGGAGAGGGTCAGAGGGTAGAGGAGGAGCAGAGGGTCAGAGGAGGAGCAGAGGGTCAGAGGAGGAGCAGAGGGTCAGAGGGGGAGCAGAGGGTCAGAGGAGGAGCAGAGGGTCAGAGGGTCAGAGGAGGAGCAGGAGGGCAGAGGGTCAGAGGAGGAGGAGGGTCAGAGGGTCAGAGGAGGAGCAGAGGGTCAGAGGAGGAGCAGAGGGTCAGAGGAGGAGCAGAGGGTCAGAGGAGGAGCAGTACCGTGAGTCTGGTCTCCTGGTGACTCTGCAGATGTTTCTCCAGATGAAAGAGGCTCTTGTGGATGGAACTGAGGATCTGAGGAGCTTCAGGAGAAAACGCTGAGGAAACTGAGAGACGTTGAGAGAAACACTCAAGCTGCTCACTGAAGCTCTGGCACTGGAACAGACACACACACACACAGATGAACACACACACACACACACACACACACACACACACACACACAGGCACACACAACAACCACACACACAGATGACACACACCACACACACACACACACACACACAACACAGATGAACACACACACACACACACACACACACACACACACACAGATGAACACACACACACACCACACACACACACACACACACACACAGAATGAACACACACACACACACACACACACACACACACACAGATGAAAACACACACACACACACACACACACACACACACACACACACATGAACACACACACACACACACACACACACACACACAATGAAACACACACACACACACACACACACACAAGATGACACACACACACACACAATGACACACACACACACACACACACACACAAGATGACACACACACAACACACACACACACACACACACACACACACACACACACAGATGAACACACACACACACACACACACACAGACACACACACACACACACACACACACACACACACACACACACACACAGATGCACACACACACACACACACACACACACACACACAGATGAACACACACACACACACACACACACATGAACACACACACACACACACACACACAGATGACACACACACACACACACACACACACACACAGATGACACACACACACACACACACACACACAGATGAACACACACACACACACACACACACAGATGACACACACCACACACACACACACACACACACACACACACACACACACACACACACACACACACACACACACACACACACACACACACACACACACACAGATGACACACACACACACGCACACACACACACACACAGATGAACACACACACACACACACACACTATGACATCTCAACACACTCGCTGTGTCCCACTAATGAAACTCCTGCACATCACATCAGGTTTGTCTGGTTTCTGTGTTGCTCCTTGAACCGGAGCCTTAACGTGATGGAGGATCTGATCCTGGAGCTGCTGTCGGGGGCTTCACGCTCCTGGTCACCTGAGGCTCCTCGCGCTCCTGGTCACCTGAGGCTCCTCGCGCTCCTGGTCACCTGAGGCTCCTCGCGCTCCTGGTCACCTGAGGCTCCTCGCGCTCCTGGTCACCTGAGGCTCCTCAGGCTCCTGGTCACCTGAGGCTCCTCGCGCTCCTGGTCACCTGAGGCTCCTCGCTCCTGGTCACCTGAGGCTCCTCGCGCTCCTGGTCACCTGAGGCTCCTCGCGCTCCTGGTCACCTGAGGCTCCTCGCGCTCCTGGTCACCTGAGGCTCCTCAGGCTCCTGGTCACCTGAGGCTCCTCATGCTCCTGGTCACCTGAGGCTCCTCGCGCTCCTGGTCACCTGAGGCTCCTCCTGGTCACCTGAGGCTCCTGGTCACCTGAGGCTCCTCGTGCTCCTGGTCACCTGAGGCTCCTCGTGCTCCTGGGGCACGGGTCAGACTCAGAGTGGTTCAGAAGCTCAAAGGAAAGACATGGGGTCGTCCTCCTGTGGACCCACCGCCCGTAGGAGGAGCCATAAGGGGCCGGTGCAGAGATTTGGGCGTTTCAGTTACAGGGGAATCACACACCTCAGCCTGGAGGAAGTGTCTGGGGTGAGGGAAGTCTGGGACGCCCCTGGGAGTCGCCCGATAAGAGGAAGAAAATGGACGGATGTTGCTGTGTACAGTTTTGTCATGTTTTTGTATATTTATGGAGAACTGTCGTGAGGGAGCATGGGGGCGGAGCCTCGTACAGGCTTGTACTGCTCAACTTAAGGAGGGCCCAGAGATCACTAGATTACTCAAACATGCACGGACGACTCTAGAACCTCTTCATGTTTGTGATGAAGAACATTTGAACATGGGAGAACGCTCAGTGTGACGTACCTGCTGAAGCTGCTGCTGAAACATCTCCTTCTGCCATCGCTCCACCTCCTCCACCGTGACTCCGCCCCCTCTGTCCTCAAGGTCACGGGTGGGGTCAGAGGTCAGGTCAGAGCAAGAGGGGAGGGGCTGGTTCCACTCGTTCAGTTCCTACAAAAGAACAGTGAAAATGATGAGGACATTTGGGACTCTGCTGATGTTTCAGTGGGAGGTCTCTGCTGATGTTTCAGTGGGAGGTCTCTGCTGATGTTTCAGTGGGAGGTCTCTGCTGATGTTTCAGTGGGAGGTCTCTGCTGATGTTTCAGTGGGAGGTCTCTGCTGATGTTTCAGTGGGAGGTCAGACCTCATAGTGACGTCATCTCCAGGTTAAACGTCAGATGCAGTTTGTGAAAAACTATGAACAGTTTTTTAGAGTAAAAGCTCAAAATTTGCTCAAACCAAACAGTGACTCCAGATGAGACAAAAACAACAACAGAATTTAACATTTATAATTTAACCCAAACACACTAAAGGTAAAATAACACAAGTAACACACACAAACACACACACACACACACACACACAGATAAACACACACATAAACACACACATTCACACACACAGATAAACACACACAAACACACACATACACACAGATAAACACACACATAAACACACACATACACACACATACAGATAAACACACACATAAACACACAGATAAACACACACATACAGATAAACACACACAAACACACACATACACACAGATAAACACACACAAACACACACATACACAAACACACACATACACACACATACACACACATACAGATAAACACACACATAAACACACACATACACACACATACAGATAAACACACACATAAACACACAGATAAACACACACATACAGATAAACACACACAAACACACACATACACACAGATAAACACACACAAACACACACATACACAAACACACACATACACACACATACACACACATACAGATAAACACACACATAAACACACATACACAAACACACACATACACACACACAAACACACACACAGATAAACACACACACACACAAACACACAGATAAACACACACATACACACACATACACACACATACACACAAACACAAACTTGTGAAACTTGTCCATTTAATGAGGAGGATTGTGCTGGAGACGCCGTTTAAAAGTGGGCGGGGTCAATAAAAGGTCAATAAAAGGTCAAATATAAGTAAAGTGTTAAAGGGAGTGACCTGTGTGTGTCTCTGCAGCAGCTCCGTGTAAACGTCCGACTCCAAACCCCCAGAAACCTGCTTCACAATCTGAGACAAAACCTGCAACACACAGTTCAATATGTGCTGTAAAATAACCATTAAAACAGATGATTATAATATTTAAAATAACCATTAAAACAGATGATTATAATATTTAAAATAACCATTAAAACAGATGATTATAATATTTAAAATAACCATTAAAACAGATGATTATAATATTTAAAATAACCATTAAAACAGATGATTATAATATTTAAAATAACCATTAAAACAGATGATTATAATATTTAAAATAACCATTAAAACAGATGATTATAATATTTAAAATAACCATTAAAACAGATGATTATAATATTTAAAATAACCATTAAAACAGATGATTATAATATTTAAAATAACCATTAAAACAGATGATTATAATATTTTAATCATATTGTAAAATAGATGATAATAATTTGGACATAAACGTGTCTGACCTGAGCTCGTTCCTCCTGCTGCTCCAAACACAACTGACGCACTTCAGCCAGAGCCCAGAAATACACACTGACGCGCAACGCACACCTGAACACACACACACACACACACAGAGTTACACACAGAGAAATACACACTGACGCACAACACACACCTGAACACACACACACACACACAGAGTTACACACAGAGAAAATACACACTGACACGCAACACACACTGAACACACACACACACAGAGTTACACACAGAGAAATACACACTGACACGCAACGCACACCTGAACACACACACACAGCACACAGAGTTACACACAGAGAAATACACACTGACGCGCAACGCACACCTGAACACACACAGAGTTACACACAGAGTTACACACAGAGTTACACACAGAGAAATACACACTGACACACAACACACACCTGAACACACACACACACACAGAGTTACACACAGAGAAATACACACTGACGCGCAACGCACACCTGACACACACACACAGAGTTACACACAGAGAAATACACACTGACGCGCAACACACACCTGAACACACACACACACACACACAGAGTTACACACAGAGAAATACACACTGACACGCAACACACACCTGAACACACACACACACACACACAGAGTTACACACAGAGAAATACACACTGACGCGCAACGCACACCTGAACACACACACACACACACACACACACAGAGTTACACACAGAGAAATACACACTGACGCGCAACGCACACCTGAACACACACACACACACACACACACAGAGTTACACACAGAGAAATACACACTGACGCGCAACGCACACCTGAACACACACACACACACACAGAGTTACACACAGAGAAATACACACTGACGCGCAACGCACACCTGAACACACACACACACACACACAGAGTTACACACAGAGAAATACACACTGACGCGCAACACACACCTGAACACACACACACACACAGAGTTACACACAGAGAAATACACACTGACACGCAACACACACCTGAACACACACACACACACACACACACAGAGTTACACACAGAGAAATACACACTGACGCGCAACGCACACCTGAACACACACAGAGTTACACACAGAGAAATACACACTGACACGCAACACACACACACACACACAGAGTTACACACAGAGAAATACACACTGACACGCAACACACACCTGAACACACACAGAGTTACACACAGAGAAATACACACTGACACGCAACACACACCTGAACACACACACAGTTACACACAGAGTTACACATATACTGACCTGTAATAGTAGTATGTAGTCTGTAGTAGTAGTAGTACTGTAGTATATAATAGTATACTACTACTACTACTATATGTAGTAGTTGTAGTATGTAGTCTGTAGTAGTAGTATTTGGTAGTAGTAGTAGTATTTACCCGCTCTGCGTGAGGGCGAGCAGAGGACACAGGAGTAGTACTGCAGTATGTAGTCTGTAGTAGTAGTAGTACTGTAGTATATAATAGTATACATGTAGTATTAGTGTGTAGAAGTAGTAGTAGTAGTAGTAGTAGTAGTAGTAGTAGTAGTAGTATTTACCCGCTCTGCGTGAGGGCGAGCAGAGGACTGGACACAGGAGTGAACCTGAACACTCTCTGAGGCGCTGAACACATAAAATGGCCGCCTCCGTTCTGCCCCTCGCCGTCGTCGTCTTCGTCATCGTCATCGTCATCATCAGAGCAGGAGGGGGAGGGGGAGGAGCCGGGGGGCGGGGCTGTGGGGTGAGGGGACAATCCGGTTTCATGGAGGGACGGGTTTGAAGCTCCGTCTGCTAAAGGCTGCAAACACAAACACCAAAAGGACCTGAAGTGAAAACAAACACCAAAAGGACCTGAAGTGAAAACAAACACCAAAAGGACCTGAAGTGAAAACAAACACCAAAAGGACCTGAAGTGAACACAATAACACTGTAAACAGATCAGACCTGAGGATTCAGAACTGTGAAACAAGCACCAACAAAGAATCAAAACAGTGAAAAGTTCCACAGTGCAGTTTTAATGTAAACTGGCCTTTGAGCCGGTGGAACTGGGCTGGACTCTGAGAAAAACTACGGACATGAACTTTCTAAAATAAACTGAGAATGTGACAATACCACTGTGACTAATGTGAATAATAATAATGTTACTAATGTGAATACTAATACTAATACTAATACTATTGTGAATAATAAAGTGCGTGTTATTAATAATATTAATAATAAAATATTGTGAATAATAAAGTGTGTGTTATTAATAAATAATAAAATAATAATAAAGTGTTATTAATAATAAAATATTGTGAATAATAAAGTGCGTGTTATTAATAATATTAATAATAAAATATTGTGAATAATAAAGTGTGTGTTATTAATAATATTCATAATAAAATATTGTGAATAATAAAGTGTGTGTTATGGGGGTGGTCCTCACTCTGTACTTTTGGCTGATAGGGTAAACCACTCTGGCTCTGGAGGCAAACGCAGCAATGTTGCTGTTCACTGGAGCCTGAAAAATACAAACACAAATACTGAGAAAATACTGCGTTTAAATACTGCGTTTAAATACTGCGTTTAAATACTGTGTTTAAATACTGCGGTTAAATACTGTGTTTAAATACTGCGTTTAAATACTGCGTTTAAATACTGCGTTTAAATACTGTGTTTAAATACTGCGTTTAAATACTGCGTTTAAATACTGCGTTTAAATACTGCGTTTAAATACTGTGTCTAAATTCTGCGTTTAAATACTGTGTTTAAATACTGTGTTTAAATACTGCGTTTAAATACTGCGTTTAAATACTGTGTTTAAATACTGTGTTTAAATACTGTGTCTAAGTACTGCGTTTAAATACTGTGTTTAAATACTGCGTTTAAATACGGTGTCTAAATACTGCGTTTAAATACTGCGTTTAAATACTTACGTGTGGGGACACGTGTGAGGACACGTGTGAGGACACGTGGGGACACTTGTGAGGACACGTGGGGACACGTGCGGGGACACACGTGGGGACACACGTGGGGACACATGCGGGGGGACATGCACAGAGACTCATGAGTTTCTTCAAAAAGGACATAGAGAGAATGGGACCATGTCTAAAATACTGCTATCGATATCGTACACAGTGTTGGGGAGTAACGGATTACATGTACCGCCGTTACGTAATCAGAGTACAAATTGTGAGTAACTGTATTCCGTTACAGTTACTGTTTCAATGAGTGGTAATTGGATTACAGTTACTTTGCTGAAATAAGTGGATTACAAGGCGGTATTTTCCTGTTTTCACATTTTGTGCTACATCCCATTTATTTATTTTATTATTTCGGTAATTCCACTCATTGCCTGAAGCCCAAACAGAACGCGACAATAAGAGCGATGGAAACGTCATGTTAAAGTTGGCGGTGTCAGTCACACAGTGGAAGCAGCAGTGCATTGGTAAAAACGCATTTGTGTCTTGGAAATTCTTCTCCCGATGTGAGATATATATATTAAAAAAAAAACAAATATAAAATCGCCTACAACTTAAATGTGAAACAGGAGCTACTGGCGCTGGTGAAAACAACCTGCATAGACTCATAATATCTGCACTACTGTCATATAGTGACCTGCCACATGAGGGGACGTGCACACAAACACACACAAACACACACACACAAACACCTTCATCATCGTCATCAACCTGAGAACCCGCGGGTCACGTCTCCTTCCGTAGTTACAGCGCGGACACCGCCGTCTCGTGCGCCGCGTGTGGAACGTGTTTTCTCGCGTAAACCGCACTTCCTCCTGTGCGCCTCTAAACCAGAACTAACACCAGGACTAAACCAGGACTAAACCAGGACTAAACCGGGACTAAACCAGAACTAAAGACCTGGTCTAGACCTGGTCTAAACCAAGTCTAAAATCAGGACTAAACCAGGTCAAACAACATGACACTAACAGTAGTTTGACATAATTTAAGGTGATCTCATATAAAAAATAATTTCTCTATCAATAATATTTTTTAATCTGGTGAAGGAAAGACTGATCTTGTTTCTGTCTTTTAACAGACAAAACCTCGTATATTCAGATGTCGTGGTCTTTGTTTCTCTACAGTAAACAGCTGCTTATTCATGGAGACTTGGACTCAGACAATTTGAAGACAACAAACAAGAATTTTCAGGATGTGGTTGCTACATTCATGTCGTTTAAAAAAGCATGACAATATCAAGTAATCCAAAGTAATCAGATTACGTTACTCACTTTAAGTAATTTAATGGATTACGTTACAAACTACATTTTGGGGTGTGTAATCTGTAATCTGTAGGGGATTACATTTTAAAAGTAACCTTCCCAACACTGATCGTACAATACCGATACTAGTACCGATATATCGCCTATCCATACTGGATTGTATGATTTATTTATTGTGTTAATACTCAGTTTTGCTGTTTTAAAAAATATATTTGACGTCTAAGAGTTTTAATTCAGTTCCCTGTAGCACAGAGAACCTTTTCTATGGTGCTGACCTCTGCCCCCTGGCTCCGCCCCTGGCCCCGCCCCTGGTCACTCCTCTGGGGTTCTGGCTCCTTTGGCTCCTCTGGCTCTTCCGGCTCCTCTGGCTCCAGGAGGCGTGGACCCTGAGGAGGAGGACATCTTCAGTGTTACAGGTCACGGTGTCAAAAGGATCAAAAATCAAACTTTAATCGAGATTAAAACGAGTATCGAAACTCAGTCCTCATTGACAGAACCGAGCGGAACCTTTACAAACTTTCCTCAATGTGTTTAGAACGATCTGGATCAGAACAAGTAGAAGAGCACAGAGACTAGTATATAGACCTGGTTTGGACCTGGTTTAGACCTGGTTTAAACCTGGTTTAGACCTGGTTTAGACCTGGACCACTGAGGGATTACACACATATAAGGACACATGGGAATAGAAAAGAACGTTCTACTGTTTAATGTGGAGAATCACAGTTTGTTGTCTAAAGAAAGAAGGTTTATAAGTATCGAGGATCGAGTCTGTTCCTTAGTGTGGAAACTGAGTTTGACATTTTAGTGTCATCATGACAACAGTAGAGACAAAAACAAGTTTATTAAAAAACTCAGGATTAACATTTGTATTTTTTTATAGTTGTATTCTCACTTCTCTGTGGAGGATAAAGTGCTGCACACTGAGTCATATCACATGTTAGAGTTTACAGTTTTATTTTAAGATTGTATTTGTAGTTTAATTGCATTATTCTCACCTGTCTGTGGAGGATAAAGTGCTGCACACAGACCCGCAGCAGCAGAGCCGCGGTCAGGGCGCCCGTCAGGACTCCGCACGCCGAGGAAAGCGCCAGGAGTCCGGGGTAAATGTGCAGCAGCTCCGGGGACCCGAGCCCCGGGGACCAGAGCCCGGAGCGGGGGAAGCTCACAGACACGTCCGCCTCGCACTCCCACGGAGCCTCCCGCTCCGACATCTGCACTCCACAGTTTTACACCAGAAAATGTGAGGTAAAAGTGTGAAACGGTGAAATAAAGTGAGTTTAGCTCGGTTAGCTCCGGGACGAAACGGTTAAAATGTCCCGGAGAAAAGCGCCTCTCCCCGGCCGCGCTCGCCGCTCCGCCCCGGTGCTTCTGCTTCTCTCCGGTTCCACTCGGACAGAACTTTTCACAAACGGATCCGAATCTCAGTAAAGTTTGTTTTCCTTCGCGATAAAAAAAAGAAAGAAAAAAGGTTCTGCTACAAAAACTTTGGGAATGAAAAAGTAAAAGAACAAGAAGGAAACACAAGACGGAACCTTCATAATAAAAGACAACATGAAGTTTACCGTCAGAGGCACGTGGTTAATCTGGAGTTTTACCGTAAATACACAATGATAATTATTGGCGACATAAACTCAAAAGAATCAAAAAAGATACTGTTTGTTATGAAATATAATTTATTTTGCATTTATACTTAAAAACAAACCAAAAAAAAAGGTAACGTTTTTCTTTTGAAAGTACGACCGGAAAAGCTGCACACAGCAGGCGCACACTTAAAATCATTTTAATACGAACGAGTTGAGCGTAAATACTGGACCGTCACCATGGAAACCCTTTATAAAGAACGTCCTGAAGAACTCAAACTCATCATTTTAATGTTCCGTCATAATTTTCAACACTTTTGCACTTTTGCATTTGTACTCTAAATGTTCCACCAACCTCATGTTCACACACACACACATGTACACACACACACATGTACACACACACATTTACACACACACATTTACACACACTTACACACACCCCCCCCCACACACATTTACACACACACATTTACACACACACTTACACACACACATTTACACACACACTTACACACACACATTTACACACACTTACACACACACATTTACACACACACATTTACACACACACTTACACACACGCATTTACACACACTTACACACACACATTTACACAGAAAAACATGAACCAGAAGTGAGGTTTACGTTACATGACGACACTTCACACTGTGTGAAAAGGTTTATTACAGAGACTAACAGAGGCACATCACACGGGTCGATACAGCTCAGGTTTATTCTGTCTCCTGTTTCACTTCAGTCTCGTTTCAGTTCATCTCAACCTCAAGAACGTTTTAAAATGTCCCATGATCCTCTGCTCTGTTCTAAGGTGGTTTCCTGGTCACACAGACCTGGAGCTGTGTTTGTTTCATTCACATGTTTAACACACAAACCTGCACATTTAACATGACAAAACACTCTGTTCCACCTTGTGATGTCATCATGTGGTGATACAGGAAGTGCTCCACTGTGTTTTTAAACGCCACACACCTTCACTAGAATCATCTGGATCATTCCAGTCCTGGAGTCGTCGATCTCAACTCAACTAAAGGGAAAAGGAGCTGAGAACTTGATGACATCACAAGGTGGAACAGAGCGTTTGGATCTTTGGAGATGTAACAGAGTCAGAATAAACAAACAAACAAACAAACACAACTCCAGCTCTGTGTGTGAGGAGCAGGAGCTTTAATCCAGAGGAAACATTTGGATCTGTGAGTTTATTTGAACCCGTTTCAGATGTTCTTCAAACTCATTCTTTAACTCGTTCTTTTGACTTGAGGTGCGGCAGGAGAACGTTTGTCGTGGAAATTGTTTGACAGGATTTTCTGATGTCGGAGGTCAAAGGTCAGTGCTGTAGCTCCCCATTCAGTCCAGAGTTTAAAGCTCCACTGTGGAACATCCTCCAGCTCACGGTGTTCAGGTTTAGTTCATTCCGCAGGTCCCAGCCGTAGCAGAGTGGTTAGCCTCCCGCCGTAGCAGAGTGGTTAGCCTCCCGCCGTAGCAGAGTGGTTAGCCTCCCGCCGTAGCAGAGTGGTTAGCCTCCCGCCGTAGCAGAGTGGTTAGCCGTCATACCAGTCGAGGAAGAGGAGGGAGAAGGAGCACATGACGAGGAAGAACAGGATCCACACTCTGAAGCCGGCGTTATTTTTAATCGCCTAAAAAAAAAAAAAGAGAAAATTTAACTAAGACACAAAATGTAACTGTGGTTCTATGAATCCCTCAGTGCTTTGAGCGACGCCCTCTGCTGGACGACACAGAACCAAAGGTCAAACTGAGCTCAGGGCTCAGGCTCAGGGGTCAAAGGTCAGTCTCAGGGTTCAGTCTTAGGGGTTAAGGGTCAAAGGTAAGACTGGCCTCTCTGATGTCCTCGTTTCCTTCTTTGACGTTCTCTGTGGCTCCGACCACGAGCTGGTGAATGTTGTCGATCTCCGTCTCCTGAAATAAAAAAAAACAAAATAAAAAAAACATTTAGATTTTATTTTATTATTCAAGGAGAGAAGAGAAGGCGGAGAGGAGGAGGAACAGAAGAGGAGGAGATGAGGAGAAGGAACAGAAGAGGAGGAGAAGAGGAGAAGGAACAGAAGAGGAGGAGAAGAGGAGGAGGAACAGAAGAGGAGGAGAAGAGGAGAAGGAACAGAAGAGGAGAGGAAGAACAGAAGAGGAGGAGGAGAGAAGAAGAGGAGGAACAGAAGAGGAACAGAAGAGGAGGAACAGAGGAGAAGAAGGTGAGGAGGAGGAGGACAAAGAAGAGAACACAGAACACATGTACCTGTTGAAGGACTTTCTCTGCAAAGATCTCCTGCAGCCGTGAGATCTCCACCACCTTCCCCTCGATCTGCCTGAGGTGGAGCAAAGGTCAGAGGTCAGGGGTGAGAGGAGAAAGGTCAGAGGTCAGGGGTCAGAGGGTTTGACCACAGTAAATAAAGTTTAAAAGACTCACTTGACTTCGTCCACCAAACTGTTCATCTCACTGACGAGCCGCTGGTTCTCCTGCTCAAACTGAGACACACAGACACAGGGTCAGGGGTCAGGGGTCAGGGTCAGGGGTCAGGAGAGAGAAAGAGTTTAAGGCAAAATAAATAAACAAACTTAAAGCTCCTGAATCACACCAAAGTGACTCTGAGATTTAAGTCATCTCCAACTCGTACTAAATGTGCAGGTTTGTGCTTTAAACGTGTGAATTTATTTTGTGTTTTCATAAAATCAAGACAAACACCACACTCCAACATGTCCATGTACTGCAGTATGTGACTGAAGTACCCAGAGTACTTCAAACATGCAGTATTCTTCAGGTACTATTTCCTTTACATGATGTAAGTGTTGGAACGTACCATCTGGATCTCCTCCGGGGAGAGGTCCTCATCCTCAAACCCCCCCGTCCACGGGTCTTCAGACGGGTCCACGGGGCGCTCTGCAGAGACAGGGTCTAAGAGTACTTTTACTGCATATATGAGGTAGTAGTACTACATCAGGTAGAGGAGACAGGGTCTAAGAGTACTTTTACTGCATATATGAGGTAATAGTACTACATCAGGTAGAGGAGACAGGGTCTAAGAGTACTTTTACTGCATATATGAGGTAATAGTACTACATCAGGTAGAGGAGACAGGGTCTAAGAGTACTTTTACTGCATATATGAGGTAGTAGTACTACATCAGGTAGAGGAGACAGGGTCTAAGAGTACTTTTACTGCATATATTAGGTAGTAGTACTACATCAGGTAGAGGAGACAGGGTCTAAGAGTACTTTTACTGCACATATGAGGTAGTAGTACTACATCAGGTAGAGGAGACGGGGTCTAAGAGTACTTTTACTGCATATATGAGGTAGTAGTACTACATCAGGTAGAGGAGACAGGGTCTAAGAGTACTTTTACTGCATATATGAGGTAGTAGTACTACATCAGGTAGAGGAGACAGGGTCTAAGAGTACTTTTACGGCACATATGAGGTAGTAGTACTAAATCAGGTAGAGGCCTTTGTATTGTATTTTAAGTAGTACTTTAAGTGTTAAATAAAGTAGTACTTTTACTACACGTTTAAAGGTAAGCGCAGTACTGCCTCAGTAATACTTTTAAAGCCTTTTTAATGCCACAATTCAGTATTTTTTATGCAATTAATAAATGCAGAAAAAGTTATTTAAGTTTGTACCTCTGACTCAGCAGAATGAGGAGAAACTACAGAGAATTATTATAATGTAAAACATTTATAAAACATTTATAAAACATTTATAAAACATTTATAAAGTGTATTTACTGTAACATCACTGAGAGTTTGGATCAAATCTCTTTTGTTTGTGTTACTGAGACACACAAGAAACAAATGAAGACAAATAGTAGTACAGTACTACTAGTAGTAGTACTAGTAGTAGTACTAGTAGTAGTAGTAGTAGTAGTAGTAGTAGTAGTAGTAGTAGTAGTAGTAGTAGTAGTAGTAGTAGTAGTAGTAGTAGTAGTAGTAGTAGTAGTAGTAGTAGTAGTAGTAGTAGTAGTAGTAGTAGTAGTAGTAGTAGTAGTAGTAGTAGTAGTAGTAGTAGTAATAGAAGTAGTAGTAGTAGTAGTAGTAGTAGTAGTAGTAGTAGTAGTAGTAGTAATAGTAGTAGTAGTAGTAGTAGTAGTAGTAGTAGTAGTAGTAGTAGTAGTAGTAGTAGTAGTAGTAGTAGTAGTAGTAGTAGTAGTAGTAGTATAGTAGTAGTAGTAGTAGTAGTAGTAGTAAGTAGTAGTAGTAGTAGTAGTAGTAGTAGTAGTATAGTAGTAAGTAGTAATAGTAGTAGTAGTAGTAGTAGTAGTAGTATAGTAGTAGTAGTATAGTAGTAGTAGTAGTAGTAGTAGTAGTAGTAGTAGCAGTACAGTAGTAGTAGTAGAAGTAGTAGTAGTAGTACCTGGTGCCCTCTCTTTGGTCTGCTCAGTGGTGGCGCTGGCGGCGTTGGCGGTGTTGGTGAGTTCA